TCACCGGGTTGAAACTGAACATACACGATTAAAGATTGAATTCCTCAACGAATCATTGATTTTGATTGATCAAGCATTGGAAACTTCGGATCAACAAAAACTTATACAAATCCACGAAGCATGGTCGTTGGCATTAGAGAATGTGACACGTCAATGTGAAAATCTTGCTGGCCCATTGACGGAAGTGTTCCAAGTATTATCGCGAAATGATCAAGAAATGGAAACAAAATACACAGGTGTCATTACTGGTACTGTTGCTTCATCGATATTAGTCGGAATTGCTGTCGGATTAATCATCACCCATTGTCATCCAGGTTCTTTTCTACAGTATGGATGCGAAAAAATTTTACCTATTGCTCCATTGCTTGCTATCGTGCTAGCTACTGGCTGTGCTATCGGGAAAATAACATCGACAGATGTACGCACAGTTCAGCGAAAATTAGATTCTGCTCGTTCCATCTTGGCTAAACATTTTTCAAACTATATTGACAGTCCAACCAACGGCTCATCTAAATCAGAAGTCGCGATATTCATAAGAAAATCAATTGACATGCTTAATATAAATGAAGATATATGGCAAAGTCGTGAGGCACTTGAAATGATGAAAGATTCGATTCGAAGTGAGCTCAAACATTTACAAGAACCTAAGTGAAACGTTTATCCATGCTAACATTGTTGTTATTGTGTGTGACCTTTCGACCTTTTTTGGTGATTACTTGTACATATTGTACGAATAGCACCTTTATATCAGTGGTGATCTCTGATTTTCCCATTTTAATTCCAATTTTGCCTAAATTCTAATTTTGACTAACTTAGTCAAACTTAGAATTCCAATTTTGCTAGTCAAACTTAGAATTCTAATTTTGCCTAGGAAAATTCGGAATTTGCCTGAATTCTAAGTTTGCCTACAACACATACTTGAAAAGTTCGAGTTTTTGTGAACTTTACCGATATGATTGGACATCAGATGTAGTACGATACTACACGAAAGTACTCTTACAAATAATAGCTTTTAAATAATAGCAAACCTACTGAATTAAAAAGCTAATGATTTCTTATGGTTCCATGAATACCCTCCTTTTTACCTATAAGAAGAAAACGAAACATTGAATCATAATGAATATACTTTTTGCGACCTGAATAGAATCTTTTGATTAGAGCTTATGATCTGTTACTAGAAGGTCCTCGGTTCGAATCTCACGAGGGAACCTCTGGAGGTTATAAATCGCTTTTTGATCGAAATCCAGTGGGTTATAGGTTATCCACCATGCTGATTCCGAATATGATTATGGGAGTTGCCCATGGCCGTTCGAAGATACAGCTTTCTGGAAAACCAGTTTTTCAGAAACTCTAAAGAATAATTAAAACCTTCCTTAAGACGACATAGTTGTAGCCCGTAAATTTCTGATTAAAATGAGACACCTCCCAGCGCCACACGACCTTTCTTTGCAAAGTTATAGAATTTACAAGAAAAGCCCTAAATTAATCTTTTCTTTTTCCTGTAGCTCTGAGCATTTAGGGCTTTTCTTGTAAATTCTATAACTTTACAAAGAAAGGTCGTGTGGCGCTGGGATAACAAAAGAAACTAAATTAGAACTAAATTAAGAAAGGTTTGACCGTTATTTCTTTTTTGTAAAAATGATTCGTTTCTTAAAACTAGACTATTTCATTTCTGTAAAAACCAGTAGTATGGCGCTATGAATATTTGAGAATGTTTTGAGTTTGTCTCTTTCCGATCGTTACAACTATCTCCTCCGTGAGACAAGAAATGTCCCATGTCTTTATGTGATTGTTATTGGCGGATTGATTACTCGCTGTTGAAATTCTTCTGGTGTTGAAACAAACGGTCTTAATGATGATATATTTATTATTGGATGTATTTTGAGATTTTGTGGTAAGTCTAATTCATGTACCGACGGTGATAACTTATTTACAGTTTCAAACGGACCTAAATATTTTGGTCTTAGTTTTCGTGGTAGTTTTTGTTCATCAAATTTAAACGTTAAACATTTTGTATTTAGCAAAACGTAATCACCAACTTGAAATTGTTTTGCTTGACGTTTCTTATTATAATATTTAGCTTGTTTAAGTAGAGCATTTGATATTGAATTTTGTGCAGCTTCAAGATTTTGTTGCATATCGTTTAAAAAGTCAGTTGCTGTTTGTGATGTATCTTGTTGTGGTGTTATTGGATATGTTAACTGTTCAGTAATTCGTGGATGACGGCCCGTGTCTAAAAAGAATGGACTAAAACCTATTGATGTTTGTATCGAATTATTATAAGCAAATTCTATTTGTGTTAATGTTTTATCCCATTTCTCTGGTTGTTGTGTTACATAATGTCGTAGGATTTCTTATACAGTTCTATTTAATCTTTCGCTTTGTCCATCTGTTTGTGGATGAAATGCTGTTGATAATGAAATTTTTGTTCCTATACAAGTAAACAGAGTTTGTCAGAATAAACTTATGAATTAAGGATCACGATCACTTATAATAACTCTAGGTAAACCATGATGACGAAATATTGTTTCGAAGAAAATTGTCACTGTGTCAACTGCAGTTGCCTGAAATTTAGTTGGTTTAAAATAAGCTCGTTTTGTGAGCCGATCAATAAAAACAATAATTGAATCATAACCAGCTGCTGTCTTGGGTAAGCCAACAATAAAGTCCATCGTCACTTGTTCCCATCTCCCTTTTGGTATAGCTAATGATTGCAGTTGACCAAATGATTGTTGATTCATAGCTTTATTTCGTTGACATGACTGACAGCTAAAAACGTACTTTTTTATATCCCTTGACATACGAGGCCAATAATAAGATTGTTTGATTAACACAGATGTTTTGTAATCACCAAAATGTCCCGCTACAGGTGCATCATGTGAATCATGTAATATTTTTAATTTTAAATCCGAATTGCTTGGTACACATAACTGATAACTTCTTGTTTCTGAATCAAAGTAATATAATAGACCATCCTGATATAAATAATCTTTAATTTTCTGTTTTATTTCTTTTATTAATGGTGAGCCATCTTGTTTAATTAATTCG